GAACAAAGCTAACACCTTTTTCATAGCAATTAATTAATATTAATAAAATTCTAACACACTTTCAATATAGTCAATAAAGCGGAAACAACGATAAGAATACGGAAAACCATCCCGACACAGCCCAAACCGAGGTATCATAAGTCATGAGCTACTACAGAGTTGCTATAAGTCTACTAAACAGAATATCTGATACAGAAGTCTGGAATGACTGAAATAGCATAAAATAGGGGAGTCAAGGGGCTGCGGACGCCAACAGCTACCTCGATGCTCCGATCTCGCTGCCTGATCTGGAAAAGGATATCAGTGTTCAGGAACAGACTCGGCTATGCCTGAATCTACACACATGGTGCAGAGAGTAATGTGAGTACTACGACCCAGTGAGTAATAATAATAAATAATAACCGAAGGTAAGAAAACTCAAAACAGCACAAGGCAATTCTATATCAGGCAGTAAATCACTTAAAGTAGTAAAATCCGTACAAAAAATCAAATGAAATCTCAGTTTTGAAGGCAGGTAAATCAGGTAAAACGGCTAATAAGTAGTAAATAGTAAAACTGCCCCTCGGGCCCAGTATCAACCGCTCAGTACAGTAACAGCCCCTCGGGCTTACTCTTAGATTACACTCAGAATAGTATCACATAATAAACGCTGCGGCGTGCAGCCCGATCCACATATCGTCGATGGCGCTCACTGGGGGTGTGCAGACTCCGGAGGGGCTACTGCAGCCCAAGCGCAATATTGCTGCCGCGCGCAGCCCGATCCACATAAACATTTGCTGCGGCGTGCAGCCCGATCCATATAAGTATTTACTGCGGCGTGCAGCATATATATGACATCCTCACTGTTGGGTTCTCAACCCCTCTCAGTCATTTTAGGACACAATAGTATAAGGTAGGGATCTCAGCCCACATATTTCCCTCATTTAGGATTAACACTTATAAAACCGATTCACATTGTTTAAACAAATAGAAACATGACTGAGGATGTGATTTTCAATAAGTAAAGTGAGGAAAAATCAGTCATAATGCCCCTAAGGGTTCTACAAGTCGGCACGAGGCCCTAAACATGGCAACTAGCCCAAATCATGATGATAAACAAAACAGCTCAGTCAAATACGCGGTAAAATATCAAACGGGACAGACCAAGTCACAATCCCCAGTAGTAAACAACCCCGCGCTCGCCATTAAGCGCGTGTTTCACCTCAATACAGCACTACGTTGTGCAAATCCGAGGTTTCAAACCCTCAGGATATCATTTACTATCATTATTCACCTCAAGCCGACCAAAGTCCTAGGCTAAGGGAACACAACCTCGCGCGTCGAATCTGGTCAAAATCACAACGAATACGTTACAATAGGCTAAGGGAACACAACCCAATCGAAAAGACTCGAAAAATATCGAAATTCACGAAATTTGCAAAAATCCGAGCCCCGGGCCCACTTCTCGAAAAATCAGAAAATTAACATCATCGGATTCCTTATCTCGCCACGAGTCTATACATACCAAAAACTCCAAAATCCGAGCCCAAATGACTCATCAAATCCTACTTTGAAATACCAAATTTTCAAGCCCTAGCTTTACCCTCTTTTGATGAATTTCCACAAATTTTTATGTTAATTCTACCATTAAATCATGTATTAAGGTCAAGGAACTCACCTCCAATCACACCTAGTCGAAACCCCCTTCAATTTCTGCCTAAAAGCTCTCAAGGTCGATCAAAAATGGGGGTAATAACCCTTAGCTTGCGGAACAAAATGAGCTTTTAACATCCTTCTCTGAACAGGTATTTTCGCATCTGCAGTTACCTTACCGCATATGCGACTACCGCTTTTGCGTTCATCCTCCGCTTCTGCGGAAATAACTATAACGTCCAGGACCGCTTCTGCTGTCAAGTCCCGCTTCTGCAGACACCGCTTATGCGGTCAACCATCCGCTCCTGCGGAACTTCTCTAAAGCGTGCGGAACACTTCTGCGGTCAATGTCCGCACCTGCGGACACCGCACCTGCGGAATTAATCCGCTTCTGCAAAAATCCTCCCATTGGCCAACTCTTGCATCTGCGCCCCTAATCTTCGCATCTGCGGAACCGCATCTGCGGCCCCTCTTCCGCAGATGCGGAAATACCAAATATCAGCAATTCTTCAGCAATCACCAAGTCCAAAATCATCCCGAGGCCCCCGGGGCCTCAACCAAAAGTGCCAACCCATCCTAAAACATCATTCAAACTTGCTCCAACCATCAAAACACCACAAACAACAGCAAAACCATCAAATTACATCGAATTCAAGCCTAAGTTCTTCTAAAACTTCCGAATTACGTATTTGATCAAAAACCCGACCAAAACACCTCCGAATGACCTGAAATTTTGCACACACATCCCAAATCACCTAAGGAAGCTACAGCAACTCTCGGAATTCCATTCCAACCCTCGAATCAAAATCTCACCTATCAACCGGAATTCGCCAAAATACTAACTTCGCCAATTCAAGCCTAATTCTACACCGGACCTCCAAAATCAATTCCGATCACACTCCTAAGTCACAAATCATCCCCCGAAGCTAACCGAATCACCGAAAATCACATCCGAGCCCTCTAACTCATAAGTCAACGTTCGATTGACTTTTCCAAAACAAACCTTCCTTAAAGAGACTAAGTGTCTCATTTCCTTCTAAAACCAATCCCAATCAACTCATTCACCCAAGACTCTTAAAATAAAATATAAGGAAGCATAAAACGGGGAAAACGGGGCGGTAACTCACATGACGACGGGCCAGGTCGTCACATTTTAAGTGTATGTCATGATTAGGGATGCTAGGGAATGTTAAGCTATTTAGAAATTCGGTTGGGTACAACAGTCGTTCATCGTTAGTGTTCATGCTCACTTTGCATACAGTGTCAGAGCTGAAATATGTTCTTCCTTCACCTGGTATCATTTTCAGAATTCTATCGTTCAACTCATGTACCATATCATTTTTTGGCGTTACTATTGCTCTTTCTTTCAGATATGTTGGCTCACTGTAATTTTGTAGGAGACATGGATAAACTGCCTCAATAATCGATCCGATTGGGTCGTTAGATGATTTCATGCATACATCAGAAGGCAATTTGATGAGCTCCTTGTTAATATCATCGTAAAATGATCCATTTCCAACCTGTAGCAACCATTTGTCAAAAGTAGCAATTTGGTCAGCCTCGCAATCGCTTACTTTTCCATTGCATAGTCTCATATTTTGCTTCAATTCATATATTGTGAAAAATAGCCACAAATAAGAGGAGTTTAGTGGTGTATCAAAAATATCAGCTCGGGACCCTTTGGAATAACCGGTAATATTTGGCGAAAATCACCACCACATACAACTGTAAGGCCTCCAAAATGTTTGTCAGAGCTATATTATCATACCTCACTCGTAGGATATCTCTCAACGTCTTATCTAATGCTTCAAAACATAACTTATTTGCCATGGGCGCTTCATCCCAAATGATTAAAGAAGTTCTGTTGAGAAGTTCAGCTAACTGGGTGCCTTGTTTTATTTCACAAGTGGATTCTACAGTAACGTCCAAAGGAATATGGAAGCGCGAATGAGCGGTCCTACCATTTGGCAATAACAAAGCTGCAATTCCAGAAGTAGCAACGGGAAGAACTATTTTTGATAGTGATCTGAGATTGGAAATTATTGTATTCCATAAAAATGTCTTGCCAGTACCACCATGTCCATTTATAAAAAATAATCGCCCTTGTTCATTCTCAATTGATGTTATTATTGCATCATAAGCTAACTTTTGGCAATCATTTAAGAGAGCGAATGATTTGTCGTGCAGTATTTTTAGCTCCTCTTTGTCATAGTCTAGCTCCTCATTAATGAGCAGACGGTTTCCCACATTTCGCAGTAACACAGAATCCGGTAGTGGCATTCCATCTATGTCTTACAAACTTTTTCTCATCTTTAATAGGATGGTTTCAATCTCAAATAATGTATAACTGTAAATTTTTCAATTGAAATCTCTTCCTCTGTAATGATGTTATATCTTCTGATAAAATTCCACAGTTGTTCTTCCAAAATTTGCTTGAATCAGATACTTGACGGTGAATAAGTATCGTTACAAATAGATGTCTCAACTCATTTCCTGTCGCCCAAAGTGCAGCCTCGGCTAAGCAGTCATTCCACTCTTTATCATCATCTAATAATCCTAACGCGTAGCATGCATCTCTATAATTTTTATACTCCACTCCGTTTATTGTTCTGATGCTTTCATAGGAAGTGCTTCCTTTCACAAAGTTAAGCAGCATTCTCATATAAAAACGTTCTCCCCTTGCAGGATGTGCGAAGTAAATTCTACCAACTGCCTTCCCACTTTGCCTTCTATTCCAAGTTTTGTCCTTTGCATTCTAGACCCAACGCGTAGGAAAGTCTAAATATGTCAGCTCTCGTGCATCGTCATATCTTTTGTTCACTACAACATTTTAGGCCTACGACCGCCCCGAACAAGTGTGGCCTAAACTAGCAAAAAGTGTGGCCTTTGATTAAAGGCCACACTTTTCGACTTTAGGCAACGCTTTATTGGAGGTGGCCAAAACAAGCGTAACCTTTGACCTAAGGGCACGCTTTTCAATTGTTGCCTTACCAGCCACGCTTAAAAGCGTGGGCTATTAGATATCAAAGACAACGCTTATTACACCCCATATGAGAACGCTTTTATATCTTACAGCTACACTCGGAAAGTGTGGCATTTGTTATCTTATAGGCCACACTTGTTAAGCGTGGCTCTAAAGGAACACTTACAAAACATGGCGTACAAACATATGGCAACACTTTTAAAGCGTGGCAAATTGGCTAGAGTATACAATTTATATTTTAATTCTTTTTATAAATTTACATTTTGCATAATATCCTGTAATTACAATTATTTCAAGCATATGCATTATTATCACATATTTTGATGATATAAAGAACTAAATTAGCTAATAAGTACCAAAAAATAATAATTCAAATGAATACACATACTAACAAAACAATGAATCAAAATGCCCATTAACAATAAACTTTACAAAAGTGAGTATATTCATATAGTATCATGAATATTAGACATCCTAATTATCCAATAATTCTTCGCATTCACATTAAGATCAAATTGACATTCCGCCACCATTTCCAGTAGCATCACCCATATTATCCTACACATAAAAAAAATTATACTTAGATAGAAATTAAACTTTGATCTTTTGTCAAGAAGAACAAATACTAGGATAACATATAGTAGCACCATGTTTTATATATTTTTCAGTCACATAAAAAAAATGAATAATGAGTAACCATGCAATACATGAATTGCCATGTCGGAGCAACATAGCTAAAAATGCAAAGACTAAAAGACCTTAAATGAAAAAAGAAAATATACTTCCCCATTCAGAGCATAATCAACTCCGACAGCATCAGCTCCATCAAAGCTGAATCCATTTAGTTCAAGACCACACTGTTGTGCTCTCTCTTTGTCATGGTCAACATCAAATACAGTATCATAAAGTCCTATTATATAGAATGCAGAGGTTAATACACTAATTCAGAAGCAAATGAATTGGGATCTGCTAAAATAATAATCAAGTCAATGGCATCAAAAGAAAATTCTAGCGTGTGCAGACAAATATTTATTCCCGCACTTAATTCAAGAAAATGCAATATGCTCTTGTGAATCCAATATACATCAAGTGAATTCCCTACTAAAAGAGAAAACTACAGTTGAAAATTCTGATCGGTAGCATTACACAGACATAGTAGTAGTTGATTTATTGGTGGCTTGCATACCATATGTGAACATCTGCAGCTGCAATGCCACAAGTTGCCTCTAACAATATCTCGACCTTAAATGATCAAGGCTGCCAGATATTCATTCTCACGTTGACTTAAAGGAAATTACATTCAATTTTAGTCAACTAAACCAAAACCTCTACACCAAGGTATTTTCCCCCACTACTTCAATTTAAACACCTCTGAAAATCTAAAAGTAGCATCCTTATAGGGGTGATGAAATTCTTCTTCACGATGGTTCAATATAAATAATATGAAGGCAGGGTTCTTAGATGTTTCCTGGCAGCATAATGTCACATTTAAAGAATATCCACCCCTATTTCCTAGAAATCTGGCGCTGTTTGGAACTCTTGCAGCAACTTTACTCAAATGTGCAGCAATTATATCAACTAAGCATATGCTTATGCTGTGAAAAATTAGAAACATAAGTAGATGGCAGATTCTCACTTTGCTTTCCTGCTGGAATGGAGGTGGTAAAAATAATTGAATGACTTGCCTGCTTTCGCACAACTACAGCAGTCACGCAAACCTGCAGAGAAAGATGACTCTCACTGTATCAAATCTGACCAGTTCCTGGAGGCTGCCTTGAAATGCACCTGAAACCCAAGCTTGATTTGTCTTTCCCTAGTTGGATGCTAAAAAATAAAAAATAAAAAAAACCAGCTACTTCACAAAAAATAATAAAGAACAACAATCCATGAGAGAGATGGATATTGTGGGAAACAAAAATGTGACATAGCCATCTCACAGAGGATATCCTAAATGGCCAGATAATTCTCACGAACAGGCGTGGAAACATGAATTTTGGAACATCAGAGTTAATATAATTTTACATTTAAAACCGTAAAAGAGAGCTTAATCATATAGAAGTAGTAAATGCAATATATAACGATGGCAATAATATTGACCTCTAACAGCACATGAGCAATCATCTGGAAAACAAGCAATCACAGACGCCAAGGAAACATAAACATAGCACTCTCATCGAAGATTTATATTTGAATGATATCGAATGAAGGTTTTCACTTAGCATTATCACATGCGCTTTGCCGAATACGAATTTGTTTCATCTTATCCTTCTCATTAGACTCGTTACCTAGTCCATCAGAATTTACTAATGGCTCATCTGGTCATTCAGAATTCTGAACCCAATTCCGGCAACCTTAACCCATAGATAGAGATTCTCTTCAGCAAGTCATAGTAATGAGATCTTATCACTTGGCATCAAATTAAGATCTTTGATTCAGTATATAATGGGTAATCACGAAGCGAAAAAATTGCAGATAGAAACCAGATAGAGACAATAATAGGAAATTATAAAAACACATTCTCCTTTCAACTCAACAAGAATGCTTCCGGAAAAAGTATCAGAACTTGAAACCTAAGCTTGCATTAAGCTCTCCTATATTTTATTTACCCTGCTACCAACTTTGGTCTGCCAGAAAAGATTGACATATTCTCTTTAAACGGAACGCCACCAAAATCTCTTCGCATGATTTTGAGTATGAATGGATAATATCACATTTCTCTACTCTTTTCACATCTTCCTACTAGGAGTATTATTTCAATATAACTCTAGGAACAACATATAGGAACCTGTTCACGCTCTTTTCTCTTGATCTTGTGAGAGTCAACACTGAATCGCTGATCGGTCCATTCAGGACGAGGAATGGATGGAGATATTACACCTAAACACCAAGATGTTATCTACAAAGTTGCAATACTTTTCCCTTCTCGTAAATCTTTCTAGTCCTGCACTTCAAAAGTTCTTTTTTCCCTCTATAGCTTTCTTTTTTCAGACATGGAGCAAGGGGAGAAAATGTGGGAGATAGCAAACGTAACTTGAAACAAAACTTCCATAAGGCTGCATATAACATAAGAAGCCACAGCCTGTTTCACCTAATATATAAATCTAACTACTTTGATAGAGTACAAGGACCAAAAAATTCTGATGAAGAATACAACATTCACAATACAAATTTTAGCTTACTAGGAGACCCTTAGTATATTAGAGATATAACTACTAGAGTATATGAGAGAACCCCAAGTGTTAGCTAATCCTTAAGTACAAACTTTTGCAATATTATGGACCCAAACAAAGCATTTATGATATTGAGGATTTACATAGCCGACCCCAACTAGCTTGGGATTGAGGCATAGTTGTCGTTGTTGTTAATAGCCATGTCAACGTAGCTTCACCTGTTGTCTCATAATCTTAATTTTGCCTTGGCTAAGATTAAGATCTTTAAAACTCAAATCTTCATCTATCTAAAGACATTTTTGTCCATCTCCACCCTACTCTAAATATGTTATCCTTTCTGCTACCACCACTGATTTTCAGCTTATAGAGGAAAGACTTCTACATTAGCCCTATATCCTTTCATTATTTCCAATGTTTCCATGAATAGGCAAAAGAATTAAGGAACATATAATCAAAAAGGGAATGAGAAATTTTAAGTAAAGAGCAAGGGCATGGACTTGCAGCTCTTGAAAGCTTGATTTCATTACATTCAGCCACTAATCAAGAACATAAACAGTTAAAATGCACTACAACCTCTTAAGCATCACGCTCTATTTAGGTCCATTCAATTCCAATACCAACTAATTTGTTTTTTAATACAAATTGGAACTTCTCTAATAGAGTTTATCTAAATCTTAAACTAATTTGTTTGCCCTTGAACTTTCTTCTTATCTGATGTCCCTATATTTATGTAACAACCAAGACATAAGGAAAAGAATACAATAAACACACAAAATTGCAAGGTTTAAGACATACCACCTGTAGCAGAATCAACATCCATAGCTTTGTCTCTAACACAGTCATCCTTGCCAACTTCTTCCTGTGCAGAAATTGCCGGAATGCTATGTGAAAATGTAGAAACACTATGTAGAATTGCAAAAATTGCCGAAACGCTGTGCAGAAATGCAGAAAAACTGTGTAGAAATAAAAAAATTGCCAAAATGTTGCGCAGAAATGCAGAAAATGCAGGAAAACCTGTGCAGAAACGCAAAAAATACAGTTTAGAAATGAAAAAATTTCTGAAACATAGTGCAGAAACCCAGAAATAATATGCAGAAAATACACTGTTCAAAAATGCAGAAATACTATGCAGAAAATGTAAAAACACTGCAAAATCACAAAAACAGTGAGCAGAATCGCAGAAATTGCCGAAACGCTCTGCAGAAATGCAGAAAAATTGTGCAGAAACGCAAAAACGTTGTGCAGAAATACAAAAATTACCATTGATGAGTTGACCTATAGCATAATAATTGAAAGCATATAACGCAACAAGTTTTCAAGGAAGAATATCCCGAACTAACCTTCGCAAATGATATAAAATTGTAGGCCAGTTTGCATGTTATGAAATCTCAGGTCACTTTGCACGTTATAAAATGTTATGCCACTTCTCCGAACTAAGACGATTTTGCTAACACTTCATTTCTTAATTTCCTAATTAATGACAACAACAACCACCCAGTATAATCCCACAAGTGGGGGATTAATTTCATAATTAGAAAAATAATTTAATCTTCGTAACAAAAGTTAAACCAGGAGATGAATTTATTAGACTTCCAGCGACCAACAGAACATATTGTGCATATTTGGATCATTAAAAACCTAAACTATGGCAGAGACTTGACTAAATTATAACGAATCACATTTTGCAACCCTACAACGCTGACCAATGGTTGCTAAAAAGGCTAAACTGGCAGGCTAGAACTGTTAATTTACCTATAATAGCCAAGACACAATTTATAGATAAATGCTAGTGCAAGAACATACCTAAATCCTCCGTAAAAGATATTTCTTCCCAATCAAGATGATCTTCTCAAAATGAGATTTGAGCGTATCCTCTTCCATTGGCCCCTGCAAACGCTGAAATAGCTATCTGGCACTTCCCTGCATGTGTTGATTCAAACTGATTTATAAAAAGCTTTGAGCTCAAGGGAACAACGGAAAACCCCATCCTATGATGCCATTGATGTGAATTAAAAAAACACCCATGAAATAATCGATTGATTTAACACTTGAAAACCCTAATACAAAGAACAATCAAAGCCACAAAGCCTAATGAAGAGGAATTTTGGCAAATCAATCGAAGACCACTATCAATAAACAATTCCAACAAACAAATAGTACTATTTCCTGTTTTGGCAGTTTTGTNTAAAGGCCACACTTTTCGACTTTAGGCAATGCTTTAGTTGGGGTGGCCAAAACAAGCGTAACCTTTGACCTAAGGGCACGCTTTTCAATTGTTGCCTTACCAGCCACGCTTAAAAGCGTGGGCTATTAGATATCAAAGACAACGCTTATTACACCCCATATGAGAACGCTTTTATATCTTACAGCTACACTCGGAAAGTGTGGCATTTGTTATCTTATAGGCCACACTTGTTAAGCGTGGCTCTAAAGGAACACTTACAAAACATGGCGTACAAACATATGGTAACACTTTTAAAGCGTGGCAAATTGGCTAGAGTATACAATTTATATTTTAAATCCTTTTTATAAATTTACATTTTGCATAATATCCTGTAATTACAATTATTTCAAGCATATGCATTATTATCACATATTTGATGATATAAAGAACTAAATTAGCTAATAAGTACCAAAAAATAATAATTCAAATGAATACACATACTAACAAAACAATGAATCAAAATGCCCATTAACAATAAACTTTACAAAAGTGAGTATATTCATATAGTACCATGAATATTAGACATCCTAATTATCCAATAATTCTTCGCATTCACATTAAGATCAAATTGACATTCCGCCACCATTTCCAGTAGCATCACCCATATTATCCTACACATAAAAAAAATTATACTTAGATAGAAATTAAACTTTGATCTTTTGTCAAGAAGAACAAATACTAGGATAACATTTAGTAGCACCATGTTTTATATATTTTTCAGTCACATAAAAAAAATGAATAATGAGTAACCATGCAATACATGAATTGCATGTCGGAGCAACATAGCTAAAAATGCAAAGACTAAAAGACCTTAAATGAAAAAAGAAAATATACTTGCCTATTCAGAGCATAATCAACTCCGACAGCATCAGCTCCATCAAAGCTGAATCCATTTGGTTCAAGACCACACTGTTGTGCTCTCTCTTTGTCATGGTCAACGGCACATACAGTATCATAAAGTCCTATTATATAGAATGCAGAGGTTAATACACTAATTCAGAAGCAAATAAATTGGGATCTGCTAAAATAATAATCAAGTCAATGGCATCAAAAGAAAATTCTAGCGTGTGCAGACAAATATTTATTCTCGCACTTAATTCAAGAAAATGCAATATGCTCCTGTGAATCCAATATACATCAAGTGAATTCCCTATATTTATGTAACAACCAAGACATAAGGAAAAGAATACAATAAACACACAAAATTGCAAGGTTTAAGACATACCACCTGTAGCAGAATCAACATCCATAGCTTTGTCTCTAACACAGTCATCCTTGCCAACTTCTTCCTGTGCAGAAGTTGCCGGAATGCTATGTGAAAATGTAGAAACACTATGTAGAATTGCAAAAATTGCCGAAACGCTGTGCAGAAATGCAGAAAAACTGTGTAGAAATGAAAAAATTGGCAAAATGTTGCAGAAATGCAGAAAATGCAGGAAAACCTGTGCAGAAACGCAAAAAATACAGTTTAGAAATGCAGAAATTTATGAAACGTAGTGCAGAAACCCAGAAATAATATGCAGAAAATACACTGTTCAAAAATGCAGAAATACTATGTAGAAAATGTAAAAACACTGTGCAGAATCACAAAAACAGCGAGCAGAATCGCAGAAATTGCTGAAACGCTCTGCAGAAAATGCAGAAAAATTGTGCAGAAACGCAAAAACGTTGTGCAGAAATACAAAAATTACCATTGATGAGTTGACCTATAGCATAATAATTGAAAGCATATAACGCAACAAGTTTTCAAGGAAGAATATCCCGAACTAACCTTCGCAAATGATATAAAATTGTAGGCCAGTTTGCATGTTATGAAATCTTAGGTCACTTTGCACGTTATAAAATGTTATGCCACTTCTCCGAACTAAGACGATTTTGCTAACACTTCATTTCTTAATTTTCTAATTAACAACAACAACAACCACCCAGTATAATCCCACAAGTGGGGGCTTAATTTTATAATTAAAAAAACAATTTAACCTTCATAACAAAAGTTAAACCAGGAGCTGAATTTATTAGACTTCCGGCAACCAACAGAACATATTGTGCATATTTGGATCATTAAAAACCTAAACTATGGCAGAGACTTGACTAAATTATAACGAATCACATTTTGCAACCCTACAACGCTGACCAATGGTTGCTAAAAAGGCTAAACTGGCAGGCTAGAACTGTTAATTTACCTATAATAGCCAAGACACAATTTATAGATAAATGCTAGTGCAAGAACATACCTAAATCCTCCGTAAAAGATATTTCTTCCCAATCAAGATGATCTTCTCAAAATGAGATTTGAGCGTATCCTCTTCCATTGGCCCCTGCAAACGCTGAAACAGTTGTCTGGCACTTCCCTGCATGTGTTGATTCAAACTGATTTATAAAAAGCTTTGAGCTCAAGGGAACAACGGAAAACCCTATCCTATGATGCCATTGATGTGAATTAAAAAAACACCCATAAAATAATCGGTTGATTTAACACTTGAAAACCCTAATACAAAGAACAATCAAAGCCACAAAGCCTAATGAAGAGGAATTTTGGCAAATCAATCGAAGACCACTATCAATAAACAATTCCAACAAACAAATAGTACGATTTCCTTGTTTTGGCAGTTTTATTGAGTATCAATAACTCTATTTAATTTTCAATAGAAACTAATCAAATCAGTTCTTAATTAGGCGTAGACTTGAAGTCCAGTCCAAGCAATAACGACACAGCAACAAAATACCCAGAAGAATCAAAGGGGTTTAAGCTGTAGATAAATATGTAAAGAAATAAAATAATTTTAATTAAGAAATCATACCTTTTGAATGCTGAAATTTCTCTTTCTTAGATGTAGGTATTGGGTCAATGGAGAAGAAAATTCCAGTCGGTGCTAGATTTGGTAGGAGTGGAACCAGCGGCGTGGTGGTGGCTAGATGGAGATTTATGGGTCAATACTAAGTAGAGGGGTTGAATGAAAATTTGAGAAAGTATTAATTTCTTTTGCCTTTGAAAATAGGGGGAAACTTTCGCTCAATGAAATAATGGAGGGAATTTTTTATTTTTATTTTAGAGCACACTTGTTAAGTGTTGCTTTTATTATTAAAAAGAAAGCACGCTTTAAAAGCATTGTATATAGATGAATAAGTATTGCCAAATATTTTATGATTTGGCAACACTTAAAATGCGTTATCTTTATATTTATAAAATAAACTTTAGAAACGTAGCTTAAACTTTCGTGGCCATAAGCTCTAAATAAAGGCTACACTTATAAAGCGTTCCTATAGACACTTTTGGCTACGCTTTCTAAGCGTTGTCTAAAATTAGTGTGGTCTTAGGGAAAATATGTTGTAGTGGTTCGCCTCAAACCATTCTGTGAATTTCGTTCGCCTCAAACCATTCTTCTTCGAATCTTATTGTGTTTTGTCCCTCTAAATGAAAAGGCAGACGCTCAACTGCTGGCTTTCTATAATGTATGTCAAATTTAAAGATCCTCCAGCAAGCTTCTGTGTAAAAAGCAAGGTGTAAAAATGCAAGGTGTAAAAAGCACCCATAATGTATGGCTTTAGGTATTAATGGTTGGTGGTAGGGAGTGACGAAATGCAAGGTGTAAAAAGCACCCATAAACAATTGAATGCAAGACACATATTTTCTACATATACTTTTATCACTTAATCATGATTAAGGTGATATATATTTTTATTTTAATTTTGACTATTATGATTAAATTATTTAGTTTAATATAAATACGAGTGCCTGAAAATAATTTCCTCTCATTATCCCATCGATATCTGATGCAATTTAAAATCAAAAAGTAAATCAAACGCTGAGTTATTTCTTATCCCAGCACCTTGGGTAAAAAAACAACTATGACAAGATAAAGTGGAGGACCACATTTGCCACTTTCTTTTGATAAAGTTCATCGAAAAGTTTAAATACTGTGCTAAAAGGGAGAAATGGAGCTTAATTTGCATTGTCAAACTACTTCAGCCAGAAATTTTCTAATGTCATAGTTCAACTAGCTCTGATTCAGTATTAAGCTGTGAATGCGAAAGTCTCCACTTTTAAACATTTACATATACTTTCAGCTCTAATTACAGAATCAATATATAAGACCAAAGTACAGAGAAATCTATAGTACTCAAGTGGATAAATTGAGAAAAGTATGCTATATGTAAAACTTTATGTAATGGAAACATCACCAATTTTTCTACCCAACTTGCCAAATTGTTTTACTGGTGAAGTCCTGATATTAAGAGGAGGAGCAATCTGCCATTCTTCATTACATGGGCAATGTGGATTTAGTTCTCCGCAAGGTCATGCATCATAAAGTTCTTAACAGCATTATAACCGTCAGGATCAACTTCCAAATCAGGTATTTCTGCTGCTATTATTCTGTCAATATGATCTGTGGAGGGTCTTTTTAATGTGGGATGCAGGAAGAGCAATATATGCGCATGAGGTAAACCTCTTTTCTGAAACTCAATTGTATATAAACCTGTAAATGAATAGTATAAGGTTATGGTTAGGATGCAGGTACAAAAGACATGCAGTACACATTCTTTTACCAACATATGCAGAAGCTATACTATGTAATTATTCTCTGTTTTTCGGCGGTAAAAATTTTCGTGGATTAAGATTGAGATTTAATCTGATATGACAAAAAGGATTTGGTGATATCAATAACAACTGCTGTCTATGTGCATTTGTGCAAAAAAAAAGTAATATAAACAAACGTATGAGATGTCAATGATTCTTATATGGACATTGGCAGGACGTTTAGAGGCTCATGACAATTACTCCATTGCCAATCCTGGTGAATGGTGTGCTTATGGGTAAAGATTGTATACGAACGTACAATTTATATCTACTCTGTTTTGGTATTAAGTCCTATAGTTATGTATTATGGGTGAAATTATTTTTGAAGCTTGGATCTATAGCTAGGTTTGCTATTCAGACTGGGATAGTTTGGTATAGTTGTGTGCTCGCCAACTCGATTATTTACCGGCCAAAATCATCGCTCCTTAAGAGCTATGTAACTTCCTTCTTAGAAGTTATTCTTTTGTTTTTTTTTTCTTGAACTTGCCATCTATGTCTTTCTTTTGAAGTTATCAAATATATAAGTCTAATAGAACTTGTATACATGCATATAAATACATTTCATAATAGAATTATGTAAGATCGTCTAATTCAATTTAGTGAAAGTAGCATCAAGTAGCATCGTTAACAGTTCAAAATAATTTTGTTGCTTAGTTTTTCAAGATCCTTTACTATCCCACACATATGTATGATGCATTATATTGTTACCAAAAGTCAGATAAGCACATTGATGTGAATTCCATGTATATTGAAATTATGTACGACTAAGTTGTTGGATTATGACGAACTTCTTAAAACATAAAGCCATTAGGATAAACTAAGAAATTATAGTTTTCATAACAATGAGAATTACTAACATTCAAAAGACCTGTTACTAACACTTGTTTCATGCATATTTATATTATTAGTAATGTGTGCATTATGTACTGAATGAGTTAACTTACATGCAATTATTTTTCCAAAAGGCTGGTTTTTTTTAGATCTTGCATTAGCTGGAACAGTTTTATTTGGAAAACTCTACATATGATATCAACCCGGTTGTCATCGCTCTCTTGTCAAATTAAACGGAGCATTCCATTTATTTCTGGCCACTTTGGGTTGCAAGTGAAAGTAAGGAAGAAATCTGGATATCCCGCCCATCTACAAATTGCCATTGTATCTTGATAATTGTGTATATCGAGGTCCCCCAGTGTGTGAAGAAGGCAAGATAATGGTTTCCCTATCATTGAACAATCAGAATCACCTCGGACAATAGCATCCATCAATCCAGAAAATAGATCAGCCCTGAGTTTTTTTTGATTGTTCCGGATATAACGAAATCTTTCTTCTTCAATTTCCATGTAACCATCCACGGCGTATTGCTGCAATAGTCTACCAGCTTGTAGAAGAGTGTGCGCTTCGTTGAGTCTTTGTTGTATCCTGAAGCAGTAGAACTGTCTCATTGTCAATTTTTCTCTCGCGAAAGTTTTGTTGATTACATCTGTCAAAAGAATTCCAAGCCTATATCCATCTTCACCATATGGGTGTATTAATGAGTAAGTCATAGACATGAAACTTGGGTGTAAATCTGTGATTCTTGAAGTCCGTTTTTCCGATGTTCTACTATAACATCTAGCTAGAAATTTTCATCAGTAAGATTTATTAGTCCTGCAACTTCAGAAGCTGTGGGTATATTGTATTGTCGGCCATCTCTTGTCCTATCGGATAGTGGTCGTAGACGGAAAACAGATTCTGGATGTTGTTTATATTTATCCCTTGCCATTCGAAATGTTTTTGCCAAAATATTATGCTCGTCCATCATTTCATAAGCCCTGAACAATTTTAGGATCAACTTCTTCATGGAGCAGACTATTCATTCTGTTATGTATCTCATTTTCAGTATCATATATATAGAGCTGGGCAAACTGTGGTTGTTTTCCACTTTCCGGCAACATAGAGCCAATGTGATGATAATTTTGACCACTCATCCTGTCACGACCCAAACCCAGACCCGGTCGTGATGGCGCCTCTCGTGGGGACAAGACCAGCCAACTAAATCCAATTCATCCTTTTAAGACAGTTGAACAGTTCATAAGCAGTTTAAATATGATTTAGTGATAATAATTAGCGGAAGTAAAACCCGACACAGCCCAAAACAGGGTGTCACAAGTCACGAGCATCTATTAGAGTATAACTACAACTACAAGGCTTGAAACATTCAAAATAAAACTGATAAACAAAAGGAAGAAATGCGGTGCTGCGAACGCTGACAGTCACCTCGCTGAACTCCGATAACTTAGCCTCCGACCAGCTCAAAACCCGCTATCGGGTGAACAAATACCTGTATCTGCACACGAGGTGCAGGGAGTAAAGTGAGTACTCCAACTCAGTGAGTAACAAAGATAAATAACAACTGAGCAGTAAGAAATCACGTAAAACAAACCATCATGCTGTATAGAAGCAGTGTAAAACCCTTTGAGAAAAGCAGTGAACTGAAATCTTTAGAAATATCTTAGCTCAGTTGAAAACCTCTTTGGAAAAATGACCTTTTCAACAGTTATGCAAATGATTGCAAAATAAATAGTGCAGATAAGCACAGAAGTCCGCCCCTCGGGCACCACACTCAATTAACAGATAATGACAGCCAATTCGGTAGATATCACATGAAGTAGCACAAACAACAGATAATGGCAGACAATGAAATAAAGTAAACACATAGAACAGTACCAGTACCGCTGCGGCTTGCAGCCCGATCCATATATCGCTGCGGCGTGCAGCCCGATCCATATTTATCGTTGACGGCGCTCACTGTGGGTGTGCAGACTCCGGGAGGGGCCCCTTACGGCCCAAGCGCAATATCAAGCCATCTCGTGGCATCAAATCTATGCCCTCAGCCTCATATCAAATCAGTATCTCACTGCTGCGGCGTGCAGCCCAACCCGAAAGCATCCTCACAATACAGGCCCTCGGCCTTACTCAGTCAAAAATCACATAAGCCACTAGGGCAACAGTAAAACATGATGCTCAGCCCAAATATTGTTGGAAATATGATTTCAAGTGTTAAAGCAAAATAAACTTGGCTGAGTCTAAAAAAAATAGTGGAAAATACATGACTGAGTTCAAGTATAAAAAAAATCAAAACAGTGAGGAAATATCAACAACAATCCCCAAAGGGTTCAAATAGCTGGCACGAAGCCCAAATATGGCAATCAGCCCAAATTATGATGATAACAAGTAAATTTCAGTCAAATACGCAGTAAATTCATCCTTCGGGACGGACCAAGTCACAATCCCCAACGGTGCTCTACCCCACGCTCGCTATCCAGCGTGCAAGTCACCTCAATATAGCACTACGATGTGCAAATCCGGGGTTTCAAACCCTCAGGATATCATTTACAATCATTACTCACCTTGAACCGGCGACATCTCTAGCTCGCGACGCTTTTGCCCCTCAAATCGGCCTCCACGCACATCGAATCTATCCACAATCAGAGCGAATACATCACAATATGCTAAGGGAACAAAGCCCAAGCGAAAACAATCAATAACGGACACAAATCCCGAAATTACCAAAACCCGAGCCCCGGACCCACATCTCGAAACTGGAAAACTTTATACCAAAATGTTCTTCATCATCTCACGAGTCCGTACATATAAAGAACTCGAAAATCGGAGTTCGTTTGACACCTCAAATCATCCCTAGAAGGTCTCATAATCTCAAGCCCTAACTCCACCTTTTTCTACTGATTTTCATGTCTAAATCCATGTAGGATCAAATATTTAACTCAAAAAATAGGAAGAAATCACTTACCTAGTGTTGCTTGGTGAAAATCCCTCCTTGAGCTCACCAAAATCGTCCAAGCCAAATGAAAGGAATGAAACAAATGGGCTAAAACTCATGTTTAAAACAATCTGCCCAGGCTTCATCGAGTTGTACCTTGCCCTGTGCAGGTTGTACATCCTCTTACTATTTTCCCCGTCTATACACCTTCTGTTAAAACGCCCATAACTCCTTGTGGAAATATCCAAATGACAAACGGTTTGAAGATTTAGAAAGTAGACTCAAAGATCTTTCATTTGATAGGTTGTACACCATATAACTCTTTATATATTCCGAGATATGAGCTTCTAAAGTGCATCAGAAAATTCTGTCCAAATTGCTCCACCAGCCATCTTCGATCCATCATAACTTTCTGATAGAATATCCAAATCATAAATGGTTTAACTTTTTGGAAACTAGAAAGAAAGGGCTACAACTTTCATGTTTTGCTATTTTTCGAATTACTTATAGATTGCAAGATATGAGCTTCCAAACTGGACTCCTCACACCAGAAATTTCTGGTGCACAGCTGAAGCTAAAAAAAAAAATCTGCAATTTTTCTAAAGATGAAATAGTCCGTTTAACCACCCAAAACTCACCCGAGGCCACTGGGACCTCAACCAAACATGCCAACATATCCCATAACATCATTCAAACTTATTCCAACCTTCGGAACGCTCAAAACAACATCACAACACCGAATTCGCATCGGATTCAAGCCTAAGAGTTTCAAAATCTTCTAAATTACTTTTTTGATCAAAAACCCAACCAAACCACATCCGAATGACATGAAATTTTGCACACACATCCTAAATGACACAAATGAACTACTGCAACTCACGGAATTCCATCCCGACCCCTATATCAAAATCTCACCTATCAACCGGAAAACGCCAAAAATATCAACTTTGTCAATTCAAGCCTAAATCTACTACGATCCTCCAAAACTCCTTCCGATCATGCTCCTAAATCATAAATCACCTCCCGAAGCTAACCGAACCATCGGAACTCACATCCGAGCCCTCTAACACATAAGTCAACATCCGATTGACTTTTCCAACTTAAGCTTCCTTAAAAGAGACTAAGTGTCTCAAACCTTACCAAAATCATTCCGGAATGACTTCAAATTTTGCACGCAAGTCACATTCGGTATTATGGACCTACTCCAACTTTCGGAATCAGAATCCGACCCCGATATCAAAAAGTCAACTCTCGGTCAAACTTCTCAAAAACCTTCAAATTCCTAACTTTAGCCAAATGACTCCAAAATGACCCACGGACCTCCGAATTCACTTCCGTTCGCGCTCCCAACACCAAAATCACCATACGGAGCTATTCCCAGACTCAGAATCCCAAACGGACATCGATAACACTGATATGCACTTCAACCCAAACTTATGAAATTCTTTCAAAAATGCCAACTTCCACAATAGGTGCCGAAACGTTCCCCGGGTCTTCCAAAACCCGATCCGGACATATGCCCAAGTCCAAAATCATCATACGAACCTGCTGGAACCTTCGAATCCTGATTCCGAGGTCGTTCACTCAAAAATTCAATCTTAGTCAATTCTTTTAACTTAAAGCTTCCGAAATGAGAATTCTTTCTCCAAATCAACTCCGAATTTCCCGGAATTCAATTCCAACCACGCGTACAAGTCATAATACCTGAAGTAAAACTGCTCTTGGTATCAAACTGTTGAACGACGCGCTAAAGCTCAAAACGACCGTTCGGGTCATTACACATCCTGAAAACATATGGGCCCTTTGAACGATTGATGCTTCTGTCAACTCGGCCTCCCATTGGTGTAAATGCGAACATAGAGTTATAAACTCTGATACTTTTTCTAAAACTGATACCAAGTTGTCCAGATTCTGTGCTCGAAAGATATTTGAGATAGGGCGGGGGGTTGGCTCATTAACGGTAGTCTTACACGGCCTTCCATACAACAAAATGAGAAATTTGGCCGTCTTGTCTGTTTAGTTCTTTTTGTCTGTTCTTCATACCATAAAATGGACCCACAATATTGGTAGAATTGTAGGAGGGCCAAAATTCCAAGTTGTTGTATTATGACCTGCCAAATAGAAATTTCAATATCAATATGAAGTGGCTTTCAAGTCTAATGTTATTGACATGTGTTGCAGATATATTAGGAGTTTGCGAGCTGTCTTTGTAGTCATTTAAGATTTGTATATCAGTAGAAAGTGCAGAGAACCTCTAATGTTAAAGACCTTCATGTTATTGAGTATTGGATTGAAACAGGTCCGATATGAGTGAAATGGATAATGAGGATTTATATAGCCACACCAGCAAGTGTTTTCATGTTCCAAGGACAATTTTTTTAATTGCGAAGAACACTGGACATTCAAACTGAAGTCCGTTGTTGCTATCTTTGAACATGTTATGCACAGATAATAATGTGCCTTTTACCCTTTAACTCCTGCTTTTGTTATGTTTGAAAAATTCGTAACAAACAAAAAATATGTACCTATATTGTACCTAATAATATGTACCTGTATGTTGAAGATTGTTTTGTATAGTTCTACTGCTTTGAGAACACATAATAAGTGATCCTTCATTTGCTTCATCACTGGGTGTAAGATGTCGCAGGTTACATAGGTCTCCTGCAATGTAGTTACAAATATTCTTTAGTATATAAAGTAAGAAGCGAACTGCAAGAGATGTCGCTTTGGAAAAGCAAATATGCGTATAATATTTACATGTACAACAGTACCACAATTTTAGATTCATGGTGAAAGGATCCGGATGGTATTACATTATGTACAAACCAAATAAGAGACAAAATTAGTTCACAGGTTCTACTGGATTGAAGCATCATAAGGTCCTGCTAATCTTACGAACACCACTATTCTAGTTTGCTATATTCACACATCAATTTAAGAGTATAAATAACCACTTTGGCATTATCGTTAAGAGACACTACTAGAAAATGAGTTTATTGGAATGGTTATTGTGCAACGGTTTTGTAACTGTTACAATAGATCATATATTAGAACAGTTTAAACCATCCTAATAGAGTCAAAAGGTTTTTGGAACACTTCTGAAGAACAAACGTTCCAATAGAGTTACCCGTGGGAACGGTTTTATAAAATAAAAGTATATTGGAACGGTTTGCTTTTCCCTCCTTACTTTCCCTCCAATATTTTTATTAGAAAAATAAAAAAATTGACCCCACTAATATTTTAATAACTCTTCAATATTTGACATAGAAGGTTCCGTCACTCTCTCTAAACTCTCTGTCTCAAAATTAAACCTTGAAGACCGTCTCTCTCAGCCTCAACCTAGAACCATCGACCTCACCATCGACGGACTCTGTCGGCCAGCTCCGGTGACGGACGACAACTGCCGGTGATTGACGACCAGTTTCGGCTAACATACGAGCAATCTCCGAGGTAGGCTATCGATTTTTCCCCTGTTTGATGTTTGTATAACTATTCGATTTTCTCTTTCTTTTTTCCCTTATGTTTTATTTAATTTGGCGTTTGGATTTCTTCTCCTTAAGAATAGGAGCGCTTTTGGCCTCAGCTGCATCGTCGTTTTCGACTCCAATGGCGCCGTTGTTGTTGTTGTTGTTTGAAGGTCTTTGCTTCTGCTTTGTTTGTATTACATGATACATTTGTGATTCTAGTTTGCAAAATTGGGGGTTTATTTGTTAGATATTGATTTTCTATTTGAAACCATGAGATTTTCTTTATTCGATGTTTGCTATTGATGTTCGCTTTCTTGGTTATTCAGAAAAATGGTTTCACTGCTCCTTTTCCTTTGGAGGTAAATCTCCAACGCCTTGCTTTCCTATTCTCCCTTCCCATCACAAAGGTAAAATTCTTCTTTTCCTCTTCAGTATTTTTTAATTTGATTTCTGCTTCGTTTCTTTCTCCTATTCGTCAGAGGTAACCCTCTTTCTGATTTTATTAATTTTTTATCTCTCATATTTTGTTTTCTCACTGTATCTCTGTATTGAATTACTGATTATTACTTGACTTTAGTCTTTAAGGTCGACTTCCTCTTCTTTCTCCTCTTTCTGGTTTTGGAAATTGTAATTTTTTTCATGTTTGGTTGGTATTCAATTATCTCTGTATACACTATTCTTGATTTCTGTCCGATTTTTAGTTGTAGTAGCACTGAACTTTGCATCTTTTGGTGCAACGGTCATATATTTGCAAATTGAAGCCTCTATATATGTGCAAATTGTTGCCAATTTCTTAAGTCTGTCTATCAAGACTGTTATTGCAAATTAGCGACGTAGACGTATCTGCGCATTCTCTGAATAGGAGTCTTAGGAATGATAAAGGAATTACCAAATTTGTGTAATTACGCACCAGCTTGTGTATATAGAATTGTGGTCATAGTAAGACTCGCATGACAACTCTATTAAGCCAAAAAATAATTCTTTATCTTTGTTTGACGGGTGCTTTCATCAGTTGCGCACATTGTTTTCACGTATTTAATTAAAATTGTAAGGATAATGTTACTGGTAAATATAACTATGAAGCATAGGTCTAGGGATTGTAAGTGACCTGTGTGAGAACTTTGGATTGGACTGCTTGCCTGCATTTTGCTTCTTTTCTTTCCCATCCCTCCCAAAACGTGCATGTATATAAAATTCATGCTAATGCTTAACGATGAAATTCTATTTCAAGGCTTGCAGTTCTTTTTCTCCATTATGCACATTCACTATGTCAGGTTTTTTTATATTGTCCGTACTCAAAATTAAATACAAGTTCATCGTTTATCAACAAATACCTAGGTGGAATACAATACATTGACTGTGTCAGATTAGCTATTACTCCCACAAAATACAATCTTCATTTAATTGACTGGTTGATAAGGGACTTTCGGTGAAAAAAAATAAACAAATGACACTTTCAACTTCTTCCTTAGGGAGATCACAGAATATAATGCTCTATCAGTATTAGTTTGTTAAGTTTAAATGATAATTTAGCTTCTTTACAGTTTGCAGAGTTTATGCTTGAATTACATGTTTATATATAGCTTCTTTTCTAGTTGCATGCTACAAAGTCAAGTATTGAATACTAATTTAACCAAGACTGCTGTAGATGTTGGAGGTACCTATTATAATACCTTATATTAATGCTGCAGTCGACTTTGTATCCTCTGGACTTGTTATTTATTCTTGTTTTTATGTGATTCTTCTGTAGTCTCATAAGTATTCTATCTTATTTATCTTTGGCAGGTGAATAGCAAAAGAGGAAACTCATAAAAGGAGGTCTATTGTGGAGGTAATAGCCTGATCCTTTAAATCCTATTGTTTTCTTTTATATAAAACCTATTAGAGATAATTTGTTTTTGTATTCTTCATCAGATACTGATAGACATGAGTCAAGAAAGGCCTTCAAAGCCCAAAAGAAAGACTAGTGCAACATACGCAAAACCTGGAACAATGGAATCTTTGGCAAATCAAATAAGGAGTTCGTTTAGCCAAAAATATGGTGTTCCCGCTAGACAATCAAAGAAAGAGCTTTCGAATATTATTGAAGAGAATCTGCCACAATATCCAGGAGTAGTAGCCCATGTACAAACTAGATCAACCACTTCTGCAAAATATGTTGTTCCTGCTAAACAATCAAACAAAGAGCTAGCGTCCGAATATCATTGAAGAGAATTTGCTACTGCCACAATATTCAGGAGTAGCAGCCCATGTACAAACTAGATCAACCACTCCTGCCACACAAGTAATAGATGAACAAGTGGAGGAACAAGTTCAGTTGGATTCTACAACTCCTACCGTAGATGAACAATGTGAAGAACAAGGTAAGAACTTTATTTACATCCTATTGCAGTCATAAATAACGTATCAACAATACTGATTTGGTATTTTTTTTGGTTCATATAATTGTAGGCCCTTCTATTCAACCAAGAAAAAGAGGTAGAACAAAGATGAAAAATGTACATGGATGCCAAGAGCGTAGAGTGATTTTACGTTACTACTTAAATCAACCTGTTGGTCCTAGTGATAAAGTTGTGGTAGAGTTTGGAAGCTTCCTCGGCACATTGGCAAGGAATGCGACTCTATGTCCTCTTGATATTTTGGATTAGAGGAAGATGGGCACAAAAGAGGATACATGGGAATATACCAAGGTCTGAACTTCTTATTTTCAATTTTTGGTTGAAAATCTCATATCTTCTGCACTAACAGATTTGACATCAATTGTAGGATAAATATGATATTCCTGAAGTTGGAAAAAAATTTACATTGGAATCAGTGCAAGCTACCTGGAGAAAGCACAAGAGTAGATTGAAAAAAGATCATTTTGATGCCTATCACAATGATGAAACTCGATTGCCAAATATCCCTGAAGATGTTCCAGCTTCTCAGTTTAAGGAACTCCTTAGGTATTGGAACTCAGAGAAACTCCAGGTATGTGTACTTCTTTCTACTTCTTCGTCTTCTTCTTCTTGAACTTCTTCTTAAAGTTCTTTTCTTTCTTCTTGAACTTCTTCTTAAAGTTCCTAGGGATGTTTCCTCCTCCTTTCTCTGCTTAACTGCTGCTGGTTTTTCGCGCCCAAACGTCACCTTTGTTCTGTTTTCTATTGAAGTAGATCCACTGGAATAGGTTGTGACATCTAGGAATTCCATGTTAGCGAAATTGATGGTTAGGAGCAGTTTTCTAAGTGTTTCCCACTGATGATATGTATCTATTAAGTTATTATTTTCTGGGGGTGAACTGGGGTGGAAAAGGCACTATTCATTACTAACTAGTAAAGGGCTGCAAGATGAACTGGGGTGGAAAAGGCACAATTTCTCAGTTGAAAAAGCTACCTAAATGCATAACCATAGGGCCTTGAGCTTACTAATCCCAAAAGCTGGTGTACATATCAGAAAGGTGTACATATCAGAAAGGTGAAAAAGCTAGAAGTATGCATATATCACCGTAACAACCCGGCCGGTCGTTTTTGGAATTTACGCCCCGATCCCCTATTAACTACTTTCCCCAAGTTTATTTTTGCTATTTTAATTTGCCGGGAGGTTCGGTTTTGAGTTTCGGAGAGTTATGGGACACTTAGTCCCTAAATGAGAGCTTAAGTGTTGGAAAACTGACCATAGTCAAAACAGTGTGAAGACGGACTCGGAACGGAAATCCGATGGTTCTGTTAGCTTCGTTAGGTGATTTTGGGGTTGGGAGCGTGCTCGGAATGTGTTTTGGAGGTCCGTAGCTAATTTAGGCTTGAAATGCGAAAGTTGGAATTTTGAAGTTTCCGTTCCGATAGTGAGATTTTGATCCGAGGGTCGGAATGAAATTCCGGAAGTTGCAGTAGCTCCGTCATGTCATTTGGGATGTGTGTGCAAAATTTCAGGTCATTCGGACGTGTTTTGGTTAGGTTTTTGATCGAAAGCGTATTTTGAGGGAATTTGAAGTTCTTAGGCTTAAATCCTTGATTAATTCGAGTTTCCGACGTTGTATTAGGTGGTTTAAGGATTGGTACAAGTTTGAATGATGTTATGGGATATGTCCGTAGGTTTGGTTGAGCTTTCGGGGGCCTCGGGTGTGTTTCGGATGCTCAACGGGGCATTTTGAGTTGTTTAAAATTTGCAGATTTTGCTTAAGCTGTTACAGACCTGTTTTCTTCTTCGCGATCGCGTCCTCCTGCACGTGTTCGCGTAGAGTAAATTTTGGAGGAGGACCAGTTACCTCTTCGCATTCTTGTTCAGTACTCCCGCGTTCGCGAAGCTTTACCATTTTCTATCTTCGCGTTCGCGTCTAAGCCCTCGCGTTCGTATAGTGTTATTTGGCACTGAGGGTTGTGCCTATTTCCTTCATCGCGTTCGCATGCACTAGCTCGCGTTCGCGTAGCTTTGCCAGTCCCAGCCTTCGCGTTCGCGTGCTTTTCCACACGTTGGTGTAGAGCAATTCGAGTAGCCTTCATTTTTCTTCTTCGCGAACGCGAGACCTCCTATGCGTTCGCGATGTATTAAGTACCTGGGCAATATAAACATTTCAAAATGAGGGTTTAATCATTTTTACCAAAAACTCAAGCTTGAGAGCTCGGATTTGAGAGAAATTTCGAGGGTTTTTTAGAGACATTGATTGGGTAACGATTCTAAACTCCTTTTTGCTTGTAACCCACTAATCTAAGCGTAAATTCCTCCTTTAATTTCAGACTTTGAATGAAAAATTGATAAAACTTCATAGACCGAATTATTGAGTTTTGAGTGGGTTTTTGGCATCCGATTTGAGAGATTTTTATATGGTGAGACTCGTGAGAGTACGAGGGTTCTGAAAATGTTAATATCACCCGATTCCGAGACATTGGCCTGAGAGGCCTTTTGGTCATTTTACCTAATTTCGCGTCTTAGCTTTGAATTAAATCGTAGAATCTGTTGCTTGAGATGTTATTTACGATATGTAATTGAATTGAATAAATTTGGGCCATTTGGAGTTGGATACTCGTGGCAAACGTGTGGTTTCGAGTTGATTTTGGAGCCGGTTCGAGGTAAGTGGCTTGTCTAACCTTGTGTGGGGGACTTTTCCCCTTAGGATTGATATTGTGGTAATTGAAATGCCTCGTGCGTGAGGTGACGAGCGCACACTTGTGCTAATTGTTGGAAATCCGATTTTTCTTTAATAATAGCCTTGTATTGTGTTCCTCCTTTCCTTGCTTACTGTAACACCCCGTAAATTCGACTTAGGTATGAATGAGTTAAAGGAGTAGTAAGGTTATATTTTGGACATGTGAAGTCCCATCGGGATGATTATGGGTAAAATAGTTCAAAATTTAGATGGAAAGTGAGGTGCATAAGATTTGACAAAATCGACTAAGTTTGCAGAAGGTCTGTCTTCCATCAAGTTTTAGTGAAAATGTGTAAGTAATTGGGGAAAACTCAAAGCATGAAAGTTGTAGTCCTTTGAAATAGCTTTCCAACGATATATTATAGAGCCTGAACGGATCTCTGTGCAAAAAGTTATGTGCATTTTCAGAACAGTACGCGTATGCGCGCCCGGTAGCGCGAACAAGCCTCCAGGTGCGCGATCGCGCTAGTGGGAGGCAGTGTTACTGCCGTTTAGCGCGAACGCTAGCGCGAACAAGCCTCCAGGTGCGCGAACGCGCTAGTGGGGGGTCGTTTTAAAGCTATATTTCGTCCCCCACAGCCCCAAAACATAAAAACTTGCTCTAGAAAGGGGAACTCTCAAAAACCTAACTCCTTAAGGGTCCTTCCACCATACAAGGTAAGTTCTAATGGTGATTCTAAGTTAATTTTCAAATTCCCAACATCTTATTAACATGGGAAAACCCTCCATATCATTAGATATTCGATTGGGACATCGTTGTTGAGAGAAGAAACCCTAGAACTCGAATTCAAGGAGATTGAACGTCAAAAAGGTAATATCTTCACCCTCTAATTGATTCCAGCATTGGTTTGAATAAACCTTAGTGCATGAGATATGAGTTGATGGTTTTGATAGAAAAGCATGAAAGATTATAGGGTTGGGGTGTTGAGTGTTGATTATTGGTTAAGAGTGTTGTTTACCTTATGGGTGATGAAGAATAATGTTTATTATAATCATTTGAGACTTTAGAATTTATCTAGGATCAAGGGAATGGCTTGTTGGGTGTAGAAACACCATTAATAAGGATCATGAAGCTTTATGTCACCAAGTGTTTGAGAAAATGTTTAAGTGACTAAAACATGAGAATTTATGCTAATATGGAATCCCTTTGACTTGTATTGATATAGATTAAAGTTGAAAGGGTTGGCGAAGGTTGTATTACACTCAAGAGCAGGAAGTTAAGGTATGTGAGGCTAACTCTCTATGTTTGGGAATTTTAATGATTCTCCCTACACTACGTTTCTTTTACGACGTCACTAATTGCCTCAGAAATATAGTTAAGCCTAGTTCCTTGAATATTTGTAGAACTTCTATTCTCTAGCTTCATACTCGTTCATGACTTCCATTCTGAACGTTGTGAGCTCAGTGCGTATTCAATATAGACTTGGGTTTGATGCCCCCGAGTCTTAGTATAGATTACTCAGTATGCCATAAACAGTTGAAGTTTTAGTGTTCATAATCAGTTCAAGAATACATGTCTCGGTCTAGTCCCAGCCAGTATTCCAGTATTATGTAACTCAGTGTGACCCAGTATTCCAGTATTATGTAACTCAGTGTGATCTAGTATTTCAGTATTATGTAACTCAGTGTGATTCAGTATTTCATTATCATGGATTGCAATTTGATTCTCAGTTCCTGAATGTTGAACACCTGTATTTGGGCCTGAGGCCGCAGTTTATGCATTATGCATCTTTGGGCCTGAGGCCGCAGTTTATGCTTTATGCATCTTTGGGCCTGAGGCCGCAGTTTATGCTTTATGCATCTTTGGGCCTGATGCCGCAGTTTATGTTTTTTGCATTTTGGACCTGAGGTCGCAGTTATGTATACGTATACTTGGGCCTGAGGCCGTAGCTTGTGCACATATATATTGGGCCCGAGGCTGTAGCTTATTCATATAAACAGGTTGTTCATCATTCAGAAGAGGGAGTATTCATATCCTTACTTCCTTTATTCAATTCAGTTATCAGTTATCAGTTATCTTTTCAGTTATCAGTTCAGTTATCAGTTATCAGTTATCTTTTCAGTTATCAGTTCAGTTATCAGTTATCAGTTATCAGTTATCTTTTCAGTTATCAGTTCAGTTACCCGTTCTCACTTCAATTTCAGTTTCAATAGTCATCATTTCAGTTATCAGCTTAGTTTCAGTTTCAGCATTTATAATTCTTTCTTTCAGTTGCTTTACATACTAGTACAATTCAACTGTACTGACGTCCCTTTTGCCCGGGGCCTGCATCTCACGATGCAGGTAATGACTTACAGGTTGAAGATTCAGAGCGCTAGGATTCTCGTACCAGCTGTTTGGTGATCCCCAGTTCTTTCGGGGCATTATCATTACTTTACAGTCTTTCAGTATTTACAGACAGTCAGTGTTTTCAGTACTTCATTAGAGGCTTCATAGACTAGAGTAACAGTTAGACAGAGTCTCAGGCTTTTCATGTTAAGCCATATTGGCTACAAATATATTTCAGAATTGCATTAGTATTTCCGCACTTTGATTTATATCATCCAAACTTTCAGTATATCAGCATGTGTTAGATTATCTTCCGCATTCAGTATGTTATGATACCACATGTTGATTCAGCCAGCCAGTTGGTTCGCTCGGTCACATGTAGTCAGGCACCGAGTGTCGTATTACGTCCAGGCCCAGGTTCGGGGCGTGATAAAGCTTGGTATCAGAGCACTAGGTTCAAGTGTCCTAGGGAGTCTATGAAGCCGTGTCCAGTGGAGTTTCCTTTATATGTGTGTGCCGGCCACTCATATAAATGGTTAACTACCAAGACATTCAGGATTGTCTCACTTCTTTCTACTC